CCTCCAGTGCTATATCAGTTTATTGAAAGATTTCACTTTGTATTCTGTCAATTCCTGGAGCCTTGTTTTTCACCAAATCCTCCAGTGTAGCTTGGATTCCTTCCTTCGGAACCACTGGTTCTGATCATATGCTACCTATTAATGGTTATACATCAACAAATTCTTTTTGGTACAGTGACTGTATTCTTTCCCTCTTTTTTTTGATGCTTCCTGTATCATTCAATATTTTGTCTATGTTGTTGTTAGGTGTCATCAAATCAGTACTGACTCATACTGCCTCTATGCACAACAGAATGAAACTGGTCCATCCTGATTATTTGTCCTAAGTATGAGAGAAGAAATCTTACCATACAGACTTCTAAGGAGTATTCTGGCTGTACTTCTTCCAACATAGATTTGTTTATTCTTTTGGCACTCCATGGTACTTTTAATATTCTCCTCCAATACCATAACTCAAATGCATCAATTTTTCTACGGTATTCCTTATTCACTGTCCAACTATCACATACTTACAAGGTTATTGAAAATACCATGGGTTGGAACAGGTGCACCTTAGTCTTCAAACTGACATCTTTGTTCTTAAACACTTTAAAGATTGTTGTCTTCCAGTTTCTTGCAGCAGATTTGCCTAAGGCAGTACGTCCTTTCATTTCTTGACCGCTGTTTCCATGGGTGTTGATGGTTGATCTGAGCAAAACAAAGTTTTTGACAATTTCATTCTTTTCTTCATTTTTATGATGTTTATTGGTCCAGTGGTGAGGAATTTTGTTTGCCTTTACATTGAGGTGCAAGTCGTACCATAGTCGGTGATCTTTGATCTTCATCAGTAAGTATTTTTTAGTCCTCGTCTCTTTCAGCAAACAAGGATGCATCATCTGTATATCACAAGTTGATAATGAGTCTTCCTCCTATCCTGATGCTACATTTTCCTTCACATAATCCAATTTCTTGGATCATTTATGAAGATTGAACAAGTATGGTGAAAGAATACTACACTGGTGCACACTTTCCTAATTTTAGACCATTCAGTGTTCCCTTGGTCTATTTGAACAACTGTCTCTTGTTCTATGTACAAGTTCCTCAAGAGCACAATTAAGTGTTCCAGAATACTCATTCTCTGCAATGCTGTCCATAGCTTTTCATGATCCACACAATTGAAAGCCTTTGCATACTCAATAAAGCACAGGTAAGCAAATATCTACTTTCAGTCAAGATCCATCTGACATCAGCAGTGGTATCCCTTGTTCCATGTCCTCTTCTGAATCTGACTTGAACCTCTGGAAGTTCTCTGTCAATGTATGGTTGCAGTCATTTTAAAATTATCTTTAGCAAAATTTTGCTTGTATGAGATATTAATGATATTGTCCAATGATTTCTGCACTCCGTTGGGTCACCTCTTTTTGTAATGGGCACAAATATGGATCTCTTCCAGTCAGTTGGTATTTATGAGTTCTATTCTATTTTTGAGGACTTCCAATTTTTCTAGATTCATACTTTGTACATTCTAGGTTCCAATTCTTAGTGGATGTTAGCAGCTGTTTCTTTACATTTTGAATTGTGCTGCACCAGCAAATAAGGTCCACAAAGCTTTTATCCATCCCTGTCATGATGTTCAACTCTACTTTGAGGAGGCAGCTCTTCTCTGGTCATGTTTTGAGTGCATACCAACCTATGGGGCCCATCTTTTGGAATGATATCTGGTAATGCTTTGCTGCTATTCATAAAGTTTCCAGTGGCTAAACATTCAGAAGTAGTTCGCCTCTCCTTCTTCCTAGTCTATCTTAGTCAGGAAGTTCTGCTGAAACCAGTCAGCCATTCATACCCTGATTTATTTAAAATACCATTGTCATAAATTCCAGCATCACAGCAACACATAAGCCACCACAGTGTGACAAACCTACAGACAGTTGTTAGAGTATTATGCTTAGTGAATTTCAATTAAGGAAATTGTTGAATAATTATTCTCTGAGCCTTCCAGAGTATCTATTTTATAAGTCAACTTTAAGGAATCATGAAAGAAGTAAAGTTTGAAACCTTATTATAGCTTTTTCACTCTAATTATTAGATTCAGAATCTTGAAATTTTGCCCTTTGAAAATGACTTGTTACTTGAACTCTGGGTTTTCATTATTTAGTAAATGTTTTTCAAAGTGTCATATAGTAACATTTGATGTGCTCCAGAGAGCACTCCACAGGGCCTGGTAATGCTGCCTTTGAAAGCCTTGAGAGATCACAGAGTTGTAAAAGCAATTGATAATCTAAGATTGTGCTCCAGGATAAACATGGCAAAGCTTTTGTTTTAAACAAATGTGTATATTTTAGAGTATAAGATGAATTTTTACTAAAGCTGTCATGAGCCTTAGTTTCACATTTGTTTTAGTGCTTAAGAACTCGATTACTTGTCAAAAGGTTGACTGTTGAAACCCACCCTGAAGCACCTTAGAAGACAGGTGTGGAAATCTGCTTTTTTGAAAAGGGCCAGCCCAGAAACCCTATGAAGCAGTTCTACTCTGCACCTAGTGTTTCCCACGAGCCAAAGAAAACCCAATGACAATTAACAGCAGCAGCAGCAGCAGCAGCAGCAGCAGCAAAATTTATTATAGAAACTTAGTGATTTTAAACCTGTTCTTTTGGCCCAAACTACTTCACAATGGTTGATGGTCTTAATCTTCCCTGACAAGTTGGGGGTTTTGTCAGATTTCACCAGCATTGAATATTTCATTTTGTCAGTACAGGCTGTGGTTTTGGTTGACCAATGGGATAGATAACTCACCATGCCAAATGGGTGTCACTTAACAGTGGAATGTGGAAGCCACTCACCATCCATTAGATACTGGAGAATATCTAATGGAAGTAGAATAGAATGATACCTTTACAGATGCTTCAGTAGACCCAGGATTCCTTCCATATTCAGTTAGTTTATTTTTTCATGCATAATACTATTGTGAATACAAACATTAAATAGAATTTACCTCAATGAGAAGAAAAAGGGTATATGAATAGGACAGAAGATAGAGTGATCATGTGACATAAGAGAAGCAGAGATAAGCTCATTAAGAATCGAATGAATAATAAGTTAGATGTTGTGTTGTTGTTAAGTGCCCTCGAGTCAGTTCGGACTCATAGTTCCCCCATATAGAGTTTCTGAGGAGTAGCTGGTGGGTTTGAATTGCTGGCCTTTGTAGTTTGTAGTCCAGTGCTGAGCCTACAGAGCCACACAGGATAGGTAAAATGCCTTTAAAGTCTGGAGGAAGAAGAGATTACATCTAACTTTGGTTTCTGAGTTGAGCTGGCACTTGAAATAGGGTCTGATATAAAGATGTGATGTTCTACAAAGATTTATTTGCTTTAAAATATATCATTCTGGATAAAGTACAGGATTTTGGCAAGAGTGTAGACTTTGGAATCTGACCTGCACTTGATTTCCAGCTCTATCACTTAATAGCTGCATGGCTTATGTCTCATTGCTAATGATTTGTAGCCTCCATCTTCTTTCAACATCAGAGGGAAATTGTGAGGATTTAAATGATTGACTAGGATTACATACCCACCAATTGCTCCTTGAAAACCCTATACAGAGTTGTTATGAGTCAGAACCAACTTGGTGGCACTTAACAACAGTAAAAAACTTGGCACTTAGTTGTCTTTCAATAAATGTTAGTTCTTTTTTGCTCTCTCTATCCCAGCCACTTTAAAATTCCCTTCTATCTCACTAATTCATGTCATAGCGTGGAGGCAGGGCTTCCAGGTAGGAGGCTATTGCAGTAGTTCATTCATTCAGCAAATGTTTACTGATTATTTGCTATGTATAGTGGAAATGCAGAGGAAGGGATTAATTATAGTAAGAGGCATTTCAGAAGTAAAGTGGGTGTGGGAGCTCAGGGAGAACTAGAGGAGGGATGGTAGAGAAGAGGCTAAAGTGATTTATATTTAGTCTAATTTCTGGAGTCAAACTTAGATATTGGCAAATAGATTATTACTCTGAGGGAAGAATAGTTTGTCTTTGTTGTTGTTGTTGGGAAGTGCCATCGAGTCAGTTCCAACCCATGGCGACCCTGAATAGGGTTTCTGAGGGGTAGCTGGCGAGCTTGAACCGCTGACCTTGCAGTTCAAACTAACTTCGCAGTCCAGAGTATTAACTCACAGCGCCTCACCAGGACTCCAGTCTGTTTTTAAATATATGAATATAAGTAACATTAGAGGCCTTTGCTTTATTATTATTACGTATGCAGCCCTGTACTTTTTAATGGGGTAGTAACTAGCCACTTAAGGTGCCTTGATAGCATTGTGGGTTACGAGTTCAAACTGTAAGGTCAGCAGTTACAGTTTGAACCTACTCCTAAGGAGAAAGATGAGGCTTTCTGCTTCAGTAAAGATTTACAGCCTTAGAAACCCTATGCACGGTCACAGAAGCCTTTTATATGAGAAAATTATTTCATGTGAATTTTGACCTTTAAGAAAAAAACAAAAAAAGCCCCACTGTTGTTTGTTGTTGTTGAGTGCCTTCAGGTTGGTTTCCAAGGCTTAAATCTTTGTGGGAGCAGAAAGCCTCATCGGTCTCCCAAGGAGCTGCTGGCACACTTGAACTGCTAACCTTGTGATATGCAGTCCAGTGCTTATCCTGCAGAGCCACTGCACTCCGTATTTGTATTATTGTTGTTGTTGTTGTTGTTGTTATGTGCCGTGGAGTCAGTTCCGACTCATAGCGACCCTGTACAGGGTTTCCGAGGCTGTAAATCTTTATGGGAGCAGAAAGCCTCATCTTTCTCCCGCGGAGCAGCTGGTAGTTTCGAACTGCTGACCTTGCGGTTCGCAGCCCGATTCGTAACCACTACGCTACCAGAACTCCTTTGTATTATAAAGGACCCAAATGACTTATATTATATGGTCTATATGTACATTTACCTGTGAATGCTTGAACTTATTTGAGAAAAATACTACTTTGCACTTTGTGATTCCAGCTGACTTGACTTTGTCCCTGTCTATTTTTCTCCCAATCAGTTTGATAAAGGCTACTCTTACAACATCCGTCATAGCTTTGGAAAGGAAGGCAAGAGGACAGACTATACACCTTTCAGTTGCCTGAAGATTATTCTAACCAATCCACCAGGCCAGGGGGATTATCATGGTAAGTGCTTCCACTGGGTATGTTTGCTAAGTACAGAAACTCAAGAGCTCTGTAGGAAACACTGAAACAGTGTAATGACTTTCTACTTTACTGACAAGAACTAGTGGGTAGTTTATGTGGCTCATCAGTGTCAAGCCAGAGCTCTATTACTCTTCTAGTGATTTGTTTTATTGCTGAAGTAGGCCAGGGAAGAGAAATTCACTCAGTTGTGCTTTCGTTTGTACTAGACTAGGATTTTCAGTTCTTAATCCCCCAATTTACAAGCTATTCTTTTTCTTTCTTGAGGTCTGAAAGTGTTTTCAAAGACTGATAGAAAAGTTTTTCAGAGCTTTTAAATTGACAAACTTTACATTGGAAATGGTAAATCCATTCATTTTCAGAACTACTCAGAAAAAGTCTGTCTCTTTTGATTACTATCATCTGATTTATCAAAGAAAGTTTAAGAATTTAACAAGCTGTGATCTCAAAAATATCTGTAAATTTGCTTGAGTTACAGGTTAAAATAATCTACATCAAATTGGTTTCTATACGTTTCTGAGTTCAACTGCTTTTTTTCTAAAAGTTCTCTAAGCATACCTTCTGAAGCTGTTAATTTGTCTGGTACTGTCAGAGAATGATTTAATAGTCCACAGTAGTAAATTTCCAGATTACCAAAGCTTACTATGTTGTTGTTACGTGTTGTGTCAGTTCCAACTCATAGTGACCCTGTATACGGTTTCCAAGGAGCGGCTGGTGAGTTTGAGCCACTGACCTTCTGGTCCTGTGCTTTATCTTACAGTGCTACACCAGGACTCCAAAACTTACTATGTTGTTGTTGTTAAGTGCCATCGAGTCAATTCTACCCATAGCAACCCTGTATAGGGATTCCGAGGAGCTTGAACCACCAACTTTGCAGTTCAAACGGCTTTGCAGTCTGGCGCATTAATCCACAGCGCCCCACCAGGATTCCAAGCTTACTATAGTATAGTATAGATCAAAATTTATTTTAACATTTGTAAAAATTATGTGGAGTCCCGGTGTGGCACTGTGGGTTAGTGCACTGGACTGCAAGGTTGGTTTAAACCACAAGGTTGGCAGTTCAAGTTTACCAGCCACTCCTTTGAAACCCTATACAGGGTCGCTAAGGGTTGGTACCGACTCAAGGGAAGTAACAACAACAAACAAAAGTGATGTGGGGGCCATGTATGAACTCTGATTTCACAAGAAGGAGAGAGAATTCAACTCATCTGCCCAAGGCCAATTCCTATGAGACAGAGGTCAGACATACCTCCACCTTCCAACCTTCTTTACCAGTTCTGATGTGCTATCTGTCGCTCTCTCTTTCTCTACTAGGTTCTGTAATTCATTGCAATGACCACACAGAATTCACAGGCAGTACTCATGATTATGAAGTCCTGATGTGGTGCTGTGACTTATTGTGTCAGACTGCAAAGCTGTTTGAACTGCAAGGTTGGCGGTTCAAGCTCACCAGGTGCTCTTTGGAAACCCTATACAGGGTCGCTATGGGTCGGAACTGACTTAACGGCACTTTACAACAACAACAACTCAAGATTATGGAGTTTAGTAGGGAAGTTAGCAGGTTATAATAAAAAATGCTTGGTATACAGATCTATAGTCTGCCACACCTCTCTCTCTCTCTGGTCTTTAGCCACTCAGTCACATGACCCCTTGGCATCTGCTCTGCTTGGGCAATGTTACAAAGCTCTTTCAGCACTATCAGTCAACCTCCAAAGGCTCTCCACTTACCCATAGGCCTCAGTATGAAGGTTTGTTGTTGTTGTTAAGTGCTGTCGAATCGGTTCCGACCCATAGTGACCCTGTACAGGGTTTCCGAGGCTGTAAATCTTTACGGAAGCAGAAAGCCTCATCTTTCTCTCGCGGAGCAGCTAGCAGTTTCAAACTACTGACCTTGCGGTTCGCAGCCCAATTCGTAATCACTACACTACCAGAGCTCCTTACTCAGCTCTAATTCCTCCTATCAAGTGCTTGGAAGGAACCCACTTTGCAAGTGAGTGCCCTCAGTGAGGCACTCAGCTTTTTCACAGTGTGAGTTGGGTAGCCAGTTTCTGTCTTTGTTGCCACCTCTTCTCTGATGTCACAGCTCTTTATCTCCTGGATGGAGGGGCAGTTCAACTCGGCAGGCATCTCAGGATCCAAAGAAAGAAGAACTTTGCTTTTGGCTGTTCTTTCTTGATGGTCATGAAATCCTCTATTCCTGCTTCTGAGGTGGCTCATGCTACACCCAGGAGGATGACAAAATTAAACAATCCCCATGTGAGTGTTTCATACGCCCATTGTGCATGGTGTCTTGTAGTCACTTGCTGGGAGTTACAAAGATTATGGCTACTGTTTTAGGTGTCATTGAGTCAGTACCAATTGTGACTCTATGCACAATAGAACAAAACAGTGCCCAGTTCTGGGCTAACCTCACAATTGCTGCCATGCTTGAGACCACTGATGCTGCCACTTTGCCACTATGGCTAGAAGGACCAATATCAAGTCATTCTCTGTACCAAACCATCTTTGGTGAAGCGCTTTTTTAAAGAAAGAATAACTTCAACATTCATATTTAATTGCTGAATAAGCAGCCAATACTGGTATATAAAATGAATAAAGATCTTTATCAATTAAGGTACTAGATTCTTAGGCCTCACTCTCAGACACATTTTCAGACTCTGGGAGGTGGCGTTGACCTGAAAGTTTATTTGTAAGCTTCCTGATTTTCATGCTTTCTAAAGTTTCAGAACCATTGACCGAGGTACTTCCATTGAAGATACCTGTAGTAGCCTTTGCTTTTTGTATCAGCTGCATCAGCTCATGTTGACCTTGTGACCAAGTAAAAGTCCTATAAATTTCTAGGTCCTAAGATTTTTTCAAGAGTCCTGGTGTGGCACTGTGGGTTAATGCACTGGACTGCAGAGTCGGTTTGACCCCCAAGGTTGGCAGTTCAAGCTCACCAGTTGCTCCTTAGAAACCGTATACAGGGTTACTATGAGTCAGAACTGACTTGACGGCCCTCAACAACAAAGATTTTTCTTGTTTATTTTACAATTGTTTGAAAGGAACAGGTAAAAAAAAAAATTTTTTTTTAATGGATACATTATATCTTGGTGGAGATTTAATCTCACTTAACCTTTTTGGAGACCTGTGTGGTGCTGTAAGATAAGCACTGGACTTCTAACTGCTAGTTCAAACTTAACCTGCTCCTTAGAAACCCTATAAAGGGTCACTATAAGTGTGAACTGACTCAGCAGAACTTAACAACAAACAGCAGCCTTCTTAGGAGCGTGCTGGGACTCCATAGAGTAAGGACTGGACTGCTGACCTCAGGTTGGTGCTTGAGCCCACCAGCTGTTCCACAGGAGAAAGATGAGGCTTCCTGCTCCCATAAAGATTTTACAGCTTCGGAAACCCTATACAGGGTGGCTATGTGTGAGTACCGACTTAAATACATAGAACACAACAACAAGGAATTTTCACATGTTTAGTTGTTATTTTATTAGCGTAAATTAAGAACTTTATACTTCTCATTTCTTTATCTGGTTCACTCTAGTCCGTTCGTTTATTTGATATGTTCTTTTGTTTCATTTTGCTTTTAATTTAAACTCTGGTAGTCAAGAAATAGCATATTTAGCAAACACTTAGCTTATATTATTTGGTGGGCACATTTATCCAAGCTGTTTTAGTTTTGCATTATTTGTAAAACTATTTAGTCCCCTAGGTTGACATTATTTCATTAGCCAACACTCTCTGGAAACAGTTTTTCAGCTGGTTATCAGTGTAAATAGATAATAACTATATTTAACTTACATTTACCTACCTTTTCCAGAAATATGTGTTAGGAAACTTTATCAAACACGGCTACGATCAGTGTTAGTTATGTATGCCGTCATATCATCTTCATTCATCTTGTTAGTTCAACCTCTTCCAATGTGAAGATCATTTTCTTAGATGAGGAAGATAGAAACAAAGTAGGAGTTGATGAGTTCTACTTTCTATCATCTGTTAAAATGATGATAGCTACTCTAAGCACTAATGTGTTTCTTCTGTTTTCTTGTTAGTGTAGCATAGTGGTTACAAATCAGACTGCTAACCTCAAGGTCAGCAGTTCGAAACTACCAGCTGTTCCGCAGGAGAAAGATGAGGCTTTCTGCTCCCGTAAAGATTTACAGCCTCGAAAACCCTGTGCAGGGTCACTATGGGTCGGAACCGATTTCATGGTACTTAACAGCAACAATTTTCTATCATCTGTTAAAATGACAACAGCTGCTCTAAGCAGTAATCTGTTTCTTCTGTTTCCTTATTAGTGTTAGCATAGTTTTGAAAGACCTTTTTGTGATCGTTAGCACTTTGGGACTCTTCCGTTTCTTCTAGGCTTTTTTTGTTTCTGATCTTTCATGAGTCTAGACATTATCTTAGATATAATTTGAGTAATTCAATTTAGTGCAACTTTTTGTGTTCTTTAAAATTCTGGGTTTAACCAAGAATTCTCTGTATAGCCTCTTTTCTTTCTAATTGCTGTCATAATCAGATTTTTCAAGAATACATATGTTTTTGTTATTAAGTGCCGTCGAGTTGGTTCCGACCCATAGCGACCCTGTATATAGCAAACACACATTGAGCGCTTACTATATGTCAGGCAAATATAAGAGCTTTATATTCCGTTTTTGCAAAAGCTCTGAGAGTAAACGTAACTGAGTCAACAAGGAGGTAAAACATTCCCTCAAGGTCACCCAGCTAGTGAGTGCTAAACTGAGACTGAAATCCAAGCAAATCTAGCTCCAGGCTCTTATTACTCATGTTCTATATAGGGTCAGAGTCCTGGTGTAGTACTGTAGGATAAGCACTGCAAACCACAAATTCGGTGGTTCAAACCCACCAGACTCTTCTCAAAACCGCATACAGGGTTGCTGTAAGTCAGAACTGAAGAACTGACTGGGTGGCACTTAACACCAGTGTGAATTGGAATTGACTTAATGACTGTGGGCTATACTGGTTCT